GAGAGAGAGAGAGAGAGAGAGAGAGAGAGAGAGAGAGAGAGAGAGAGAGAGAGAGAGAGAGAGAGGAGTGATACAAGATTGTTGTGCGGTCCAAGAAAGAAGGTGGCGGCCATAGCCACTGAGCTCGGAAACGGAGTGAACGAAGAAGAGAAAGGAAGGAGAGAGGAAGAAGGGGGTGAAGAAGAAAGAGACGAAGAGGAGAGAAGAAGCCATAGCCAAAGAAGGAAAAGGAGGGAGAGAAGAAGGAGAGAGAAGCCATAGCCAGGGTGAAGGAAGAAGAAAGGAAGAAGGGAAGCGAAGGTTGGTGAGAAAGAAAGGGGTCGGCAGTCATAGCCGAGTTGAGGGTTGACCAAGGCGTTGACCGAGGGGTTGACCAACGTTGACCAAGGCTTTGACCGAGGAGTTGACCGGGGAGTTGACCGGGGAGTTGACCAAGGAGTTGACCGGCAAGTTGACCAAGTGTTGACCAGCATTGACCGGAGCTGTTGACCACGAAACTGACCAAGCTGGAGTTGGTATACTCTTGCCAAGCCTTCAGCCTATCCCCTCGCCCTATGGATGTGCACTCACCCCATGGTACTTGCCATCTGTTTCTCTTCTTTCTGCATTTAGTCTCTTCTATCCAGGTGATAGGAACTCTGTGAATGTGGTCATAGAACTGTGTTGACCAAAACCACATGGGCTGAGTAGGGCTAAAGGCCGTGTCTGACGATTGACAGACTGACCCGGAGGACAAACCCTCCCAAGGACCGGTACAAACCGGCGGGCTGCTCAGTGTGGCATGGTAGGACCAAAATCCGAGTTGTGGGCTGCACAACCAGCTGTCTAAGTCTTGAGAGCACTTGCTGATCGCGTCCTCCTGTTTGCGACGTTAAAAAATTTGTGAGGAGTTACGAATGATCTCCTTAAATGTCTCCTGATCTGCGCTGAAGTCCTGTAGTGACAGCTTAGTAATAGGTCTAGGCTAGAGACCCTAGTTGACAGGGTCTTGAACCGGAGTGAAAGCCAGAAGGGATTGACCGTAGGTGCAGGGCATCTGGGTCTGAATTTTGAAGGATAGTGGTGGCGAAAGCTTCCGCCGGCCGTGGTAACCTGGCTGGATCAAAGGGTAAGGCTTTGTGGTCCTTAGAGAGTCAAACAATAAGCTAAGTCAGTCAGGGGGTGGAAGTCTAAGAGGTGAGGAGTGGAACTGTCACTCAGTTGTGCATCTGTCACCATGGCTGACCTGCGTAGTGGTAAGAGCACCACCCCGTACACTAAGGCTCAAGAACAGCAAGCCGCCGCCGTCCTAAAAGAGAGAAAAGAGAAAGAGGCTAAGGGAGCGTTGATTAAGCAGGCCAAGAAGTTGGCCTTGATGGAGGAGCAGGCGGCGAAGAAGAAGAAACTGGAGGAGGAGATGGAGAAGTTGAAAAAAGAAGAGGAGGAGAAGTTGAAGGCAGTAGAAGAAGAGGAAGTGGAAGAGGAGGACGAAGTCCCCTTGGACAGAAGGACCAGAACGGAAAGGGGAGAATTAAGTGGCACGAAACAGGATGACCAATGGATGGAGAAGGAGATTACAGAGTGGGTTGCAAATTTGTTGTTGGGAGAGGAGGGAGGAAGCGATGCTATATGTCCCAAGGGCAGAACAAGAGGCGGTTATGCCGCCAGGTCAAAGAGGAGGAGAAGAAGTTGAGTGGAAGTTGCATCCCGCAAGAGAAAAGAGGCAACGATTGGATGTAGCAGATAAGGTGGTGAAGGAATTGCAAGTGGTGCAGAAGCAAAGACAACAAATGGAAGGCCAGGCGGATGTGTTGGGGAAGATGGAGATTATGGCCAGGAATATAGAATTATTGGCAAAGGCTCAACAGGAGCAATATCAGTTGGTTACGGGCCAGGATATCGCATTGCAATCCATACGCCTGGGGTTCAAAGAGTTTGCGCACGAGATGATGCTTCATGTGGGCAAAAAAATGAAGGCTAGAATGAAAAATATTGAACGATTTTGCACAAGCGCCATAGAAGGCGCAAAGCTTGCTGCTCCAAAGGAGGAGGAAGCTCGCCCCCCTAGAGAGCCAGTTAAAGTAAAGTTTCCTGATTCCTACAGTGGGAAGAAGGAAGAGAATTTTGACAACTGGGCGGCGACCGTTAATTCATACGTCCATCTGTAGATCTTCCCTGAGGAACAAATCATCATCGCCTTTCATGCCCTTAGAGACGAAGCGGCTAGCTTCGCCCGATCGCTTGCCCGCCCCGCGCAATGAGAGAACAATATGGTAGCTTACTCCAAAGTCACCCCCCGTCCTGAAATTTTCAAGCTGCTTCGTGAACGGTTTGCAAATGTCACGCGAAGTGTAAGGGCCTCTGACAAACTGCAAACCATCCACTCTTGCTAATGGAGGAGTGCAAGGGCACTCAAAGGCGTTATGGACAAGTTGGTCGCCGTCCCAGACCATGGGGTCACTGAGACCCAACTGGTCAACTTGTTTTATCGTGCCATGCCCGAACCTTTGCGCAGTCACTTTTTCGAGAAGTGGTAGCTTTCGAGGTGCAGTCCATGCCAGTTTCCACTTTCTGGCATAAGGACCTTGACAAGGGCAAAAAGTGGAAGAGTCGTACCATCTCTGGCCAAGTCACGGCCAAGGATCATTTGATCCTAACTTTAGACGAAAGTGGTCCCCTACAATCAGATTGAGTGGGGCCTTGAGGAGTAGGACAGTAGTGTGAGTCAGGGGAGGACTTATGCTGTCGTCGCGGCGCGAGGGAGGCCGCAAGGAAGAGGAGGAGGCCGGGGCCAAGGGGGCCGGGCCTCTGGTGGTCGAGGACAGGGCATTCAGGGGGTTGGCGGCAGAGGAAACCGCCAAGAGGGAGGTAGGGATCAAGGTTCTCCGCAAAACCATCCGCGTTCCAATCGATCACCTCCTAGGAGGGGTGGATGGCACCCTGCTCTACCATAGGGCAGACCCTGGGAAGATCTGGGCTTGGATCAGCCTGTGTGGCAAAGACGAGTAGACCAGGATTAGTGCGTCTATTGCGGTGATCCGGGGCATATCATAAAACATTGCCCCAAACATAGAGAAACCCGGTATGCTGCATAGGCAGCAAAAGGCAACCGCCGGTAGGAGTTGCAACTGCTCTTACTCCTAGACCATGTGGAGAAGAGTGTGCGCACCATAGAGAAACTCCCAGACCACATGTGTCTATGGCCGAGGTTGTTGGCCAATGCCTAGATAGTTGTCTAGAGATTGCTTGCGTTAGGGTCTCTCTAGGCACTTCCCTCACAAGCGTGGCACAAGAATTGAAGGAGAGAATGCCTGCTTGGGCCAAGATGAAAAAAGATGCAAAAGGACAGCTAGTTCTAGTAGATGTAGAGGTTTTCAGAGGACGAGTAGGGGCCTTGATAGACAGTGGGGCCACTCATAGTTATATCTTTAGGAAAGCGCTGCAAAAGTTAAAGCAATCTGAAGCTCCAAAAGTTAGAAGACCCTATAGTCAGCATCCTCGCAGACAATTGCACTATGGGAGTCGAGGAATATGTAGAGGGAATCCATGCGTACTTTCGCCTAGAGAA